GAAATGTACACTGTAAACACATGTGATTAAATGTAAATAAAAAATAAATTTTAAAAAATTTAAGAAACAATATTCAACAATCATTCATAATAAAAAACTTTCAGAGAATTAGCAACAGAAAGGTACTTCTCAATCTGTAAAAGGACATTTACAAAAAGCATATGGCTGGGGACCAGCAGTTAGCGTAATGGCTATGTCGCTGGATTCCCACGTAGTCGACCGCGGTTGGCGTCCTGGACCCGGTGGCTTAGAACTCACGCCGGGCGCGTGTGCATGCGTGCCCAAGATCCCGAGAGGAGAATGGAGGAGAAGGGATCACGGCGTGACCATCCCCCCGGGGGGTGATTTCTCGCTTTCTGTCTCTATGTCTCTGTCTGTCTGGCAAGCGCATGCGCCCTACAGCAAAAAAAAAAAAAAAAACTCTCAAAAAAAATTGGAAAAAATTAAAAAAAAAAAGCATATGGCTAAGATTAATCTTAATGGTGAAAGATTGAATGTTTTCCTCAAATGAATAGAGACCCAGGATGTCAGTTCATAATTCTGCTATTCAAAATTGTGCTAGAGATTCTAGACAATTCAATAAAATGAGATAAATAAATAAATGGTATATATATTGGGAAGGAAAAACTAAAACTCTCCTTATTTTTAAAAGGTATGCTTGTCTAAAAAAATCCCAAGGAATGTACAAGAATGGCTAATTGAATAATAAGTGAGTTCAACAAAGTCATAGGATAAAAGGTGAATACACAAAATTCAATTCTACTTTAATGTACTAGCAATGAACAATTGGAAATAGAAATTTGAGTAACTGCACCATTTAGCAATGAAACTCATTAAATGCTTTTGTATAAAGCTAATGAAATATGTGGATTATCTGTATGTTGAAAATTACAAATATGATGAAAAAAATAAAGATCAAAAGAATAAATATACCACATTGGAAGACTTAATATTGTTAAAATGTCAATTCTCCTCAAACCAATCTACAGGGTCCACACAGTTCCACTTTAAAGATCACAGCACAATTTTTTATAGAAGTTGACAATTTAATTCTAACATTTATATGGAAAGGCAAAGTAATACCTCTTTTCAGATTTATAAACTTGCTATAAAGCTAAATAATCAAGACAGTTTGTTTTGTTTTGTTTTGTTGAGAGAGATTTTTGCTATAGGGCATGTGTGCTCACCAGACAGGCAGAGAGAGACAGAGAAACAGAAAGCAAGAAATCATCCCCCAGTGGGGATGGCGGTGCTGCAGTCCCTTCTCCTCCATTCTCTTCTTGGGATTTTGGGCATGCACGCACATATGCCTGGCATGAGTTCTAAATCACTGGGTCCAGGACTCAAACTGTGGTCGATTATGTGAGAGTCCAGCATCATAACCGTTACACCATCTACTGGTCCCAAGATAGTTTAGTGTGGAAGAAAAATAGACATATAAATTAGGGCATCATAATAGTCCAGACATAGACCTTTGTATATGATCAACTGATTTTCAACAAAGGCAGTTTGATGGATAAAAGATAATCTTACAAGTAACTAGTAGAATCACCAGATATCCAAACACAAAATGAATGTAGCTCAACTTGTATCACACAGCATACACAAAAAATAAATCAAAATGCATCAGTACACCTAAATGTAAAATCTAAAACTAAGAAAATTCAAGAATAAAGTATAAAAGAGAATATTTATGACTTGGATTATACAGAGTTTTAAGGTAGGACACAAAAAATACAATTCACGAGAGAAAATAATAAATTATACTTCACCAAAATTAATACTTTCTACTGTACAAAAGATACTTTAAGAAAATGAAAAGAGAAGCTACAAAATATTGCAAGAAAATATTTGAAAAACATTTATCTGATAAGGAATTTGTGTCTAGAATATATAAAGAAATCTTAAATCAATAAGAAAAGAAAATTTTTAAATGGGCAGATTTGAACAGACACATCACCAAATAAAATCTATATGTAGTAAACAAACATAAGAAAACATGCTCAAACATCATTGCTCATTAAGAAAATACAATTTCAAGGCTCTGAGATTCCTCCACTTACCTATTACAATATCTTAAAAGAGAAAAAAAAAAAGTAGACCGACCAACCAAATAGGACAATACAAAATACAGGTAAGGATGCAAAGCACTCAGAATCTTCATACACTGCAGCTAGTGGAAATGTGAAATGGCACAGCCAATTTGGAAATCATTCCTCATAAAATTGAACATACACTTTACCATAAGATTCAGCGATCCTAGTCCTCAGCATTGACCAAAACCAAATGAAACATGTCCTTTGAAGAGTTGTACACAAACAACTGTGGAGGACTGGGTGCTGAGAGTGGGAAGGGGTTGAAAACAGTAAGGTAAAGACAGTGGAGGACAGTGCAATTCTATCGTTGAAAAAAAAAAAAAAAAACATAAGAGGTCTTCATGTATTATGAAAACTCTATGCATGAATTTCAATTTTTTACACCCAAATAAACTTGCACTGTAGTTCTATTCTCCATAAACTCTGTTCCATGATAGAGGGCACACACATGAGAGAGAGAGAGAGAGAGAGAGAAGAACACTTGACTGAGTGTCATCATGTCAAATCCTTTTCCCCAGCCATCCAGTTCCTCAATCTTGGGCACATGTGCAGAGCAACCAATGTGTTTGCAGGTCAACCCAAGGTCCAAACCCATGGTCAGCCATGCAGCTTTCAGCACTATAGACAAGTATACTACAGACTGTGCCACCAAGCTTGGACCATTCTCCACAAACTTTTTTTTAAAGGTTTTTGCTGGGACCAGCAGATGGCGTAATGATTACACTGCTGGACTCTCATGTAGTCAACCGTGGTTTGAGTCCCAGACCCTGTGGCTTGAAACTCATGCTGGACACATATTCATGCTTTCCCAGAATTTTAAGAGGAGAACGGAGGAGAAGGGATTGAGGTGTAGCTATCACTTTAGGTCTCTCCCTGCCTTTCTGGCAAGTGCATCTGCCCTTAAAGCAAAAATCTCTCTTAAAAAAAAAAATAAAAAGGTTTTGGCCATAGGGTTTGTACATTCACCAGAGAGAGAGAGAGAGAGACAGAGAGACAGAGAGGGGTAAAGTGAGAAATCATCCCTCAGGGGGAACAGTCGTGCCCAAATTCCTTGTTCTCCATTCTCTTGGGATTTTGGATGCACACACACACATGCACCCACTGTCCCCTAATCCAGAAATCAAACCACGACCAGCCACATGGGAGTCCAGTACCTTAACCACCATGCCACTTGCTAGCCCCTCTATACATTTTTAAAACTCCCCTCATTTGACTTTTTCTAATACTGCATTTTTTTTTTCATTGCTAGAGAGATATGTGCTCTTTCTCATTCTCTGACTTTCTGGCAAGCACATGCACAGAGAAAGAGATAAAGAAAGAGAGACAAAGAAAGCACCCCCCCACAATGGGGCAGGGTCATTCACTATCCTTTTTCTCCATGTTTTCTCTATCCTTTCAGGATTTGGAGCACACACACACACACACACACACACGCACTATGTTTTCCAGGTCACTAGGGTCAGCATTTGAACCTCAACTGGCCTCACAGGACTGTGCTATAGAACCAATCTCCCTGATATGTTGTTACTTGAAGGAAAATACAGTAAGACCAAAATTCTGGGCAGATGTTATATTTAATTGTAGAAAATAAATTCAAAACATAGAAAGTTTAGTGAACATATTTAAAATGCTGGAGTAGAGAAGGACTTCCTAAGCATGGCACTTAAGACAATAAATTGTAAAGAAAGTACACATATATTATAAACCTGTATATCACAAAAAGCAAGATTGAAGGAAAATACAGTAAGACCAAAATTCTGGGCAGATGTTATATTTAATTGTAGAAAATAAATTCAAAACATAGAAAGTTTAGTGAACATATTTAAAATGCTGGAGTAGAGAAGGACTTCCTAAGCATGGCACTTAAGACAATAAATTGTAAAGAAAGTACACATATATTATAAACCTGTATATCACAAAAAGCAAGACAACCTGGGAGATACATCTGAATACACAAAGATTATAAACCTGTATATCACAAAAAGCAAGACAACCTGGGAAAATATAAAAAGAATTGATATTCTGGGACCAGCAGTTAGCATACTGACTATGTTGCTGGACTCCTATGTAGTCGATTGTAGTTCCAGTCCCAGACCTGGTGGCTTAAACTCATGCTGAGTGGGCGTGTGTACGTGCGTGCCCAAGATCCTGAGAGGAGAATGGAGGAGAAGGGATTGTAGCATGGCCATCCCCCCTGGGGGGTGATTTCTCGCTTTCTGTCTGTCTGTCTCTCTCTCTGTCTTTTTGGCAAGTGCACATGCCCTATAACAAAAACCTCTCAAAAAAATAAATAAAAAAATTAAAGAAAAAAGAATTGATGTACTTAACTTTTCAATCTAGCGAAAGAGTTTTTTTTCGTGTTGGTTTTGCTATAGGGAGCATGGACTCAACGAAGAGAGACAGAAAAAGTGAGAAATCACCCCTCCAGGTGGGATGCCTACACAACAACCCTCTTCTTCATTTTCCTCCTGGGATTTTGGGCACACACTCACACAAAACCAGCATGATTTTCAAGTCTCCAAATCCAGGACTCAAACCAAAAATGCATCACAACTATTCTGATGACCCAATGTATAGAGATTTAGCCTTAAAGATATTCATCATTTTTTGTAGCAGTAGAAACTTGTAAACAACTTAAATACCCAGCAATATCTGACTCTAAATTAATTAAGTCACATGTATACCATGAAACATTTCACAACTGTTAAAACTGTTTTAATGGATATATATTTGTTAACAAGAAAATATAATCATGCTATTTATAAGTAATAAGGTTGTTTTAAGAAGAATGTTAAGTATGATTTAGTATCCATTAACAAATAAAAAGAAAGTGTATGCTTAAAGAACCTAGAAGGTCATGTTTTAAACCATTTTAAAAAATAATTGTGGCGGGCCCTCCCGGGCTCAGCGCGGCCCCCCCAGGCCCCGCGCCAAGGCAGCGGCGGGAGGCGGGCCCTTGCCCCCCCCTCGCCCTCTGGCGAGGTCGTGTGGCCTCTGGGCCAACAAGCTGAAGCCGAAAACAAGGATTAAGAATTTACAACTATAAGCAACAGAAAGAATCTTTAGCTGTCTTAAACCAATTGAGAAATATACTGTATAGAAGGATTTTATCTACCTATGGACAGTGAGAAGATGATGGAAGATGGCTGCTGTGCCGCATCAACTGATGGTCAACTCTGCTTACCAGAACCGCTTTCCTGAAACTGTATTCCATGGAGACTCACCTATAATTGTGGAACTGCATGAGACCCACCCTTGATCCAACCTTGAATGGAATCTATTTTCCCTATTGTTAGAAACTTTGGACTCGTGGCCCCTCTCCCTCTACTCGCAGGTGTCGCATTTTCAATGACTCCTCTGGAAGACAACGGTTTATAGCAGAGATAGTGTAAACAGGAGAGGGGGTCAAACATAGGATAAAAAACATATATATATATATATGTATACATATGTATGAAAGTAGAAATGGAATATTATTGGTGATAACATGCTTGATTAAGACACTATACAGTTTATCCTAGATGGGAAACTACACTTAGTGTGTTGTGATGATGCTCAGGGAATGAGTGTTAGGTAATATAATTTAATAAAAAAAAAAAAACAGGAGGAAAAAAAAATAATAATTGTCAAAGTGCACACATGCTCAAGAGAAACGGGGGAAGGGAGAGGCAGAAAACAGTTCCCAGAGGAAATAGTCATCACACCAAAATCCCTTCTTCATTTTTCCTCCTTCTGGGATTTTGGGCATGCATACACATGCACTCAGAGTGTTTCTCAAGCCTCCAGGTCCAAGACTCAAACTGTGCAGTTGACCTTGTGGGACCCAGCTCTCTTAACCACCAGGTCACAGGCTGGCCCTAGAAAGGCATGTTATAAAGATTATAAATGATGATTTGTGGACAGATTTATTTTCCTTACAGTGAACTTTTTTGTGTTATTTTGGTTTTTAGCATAAAACCTATTTATAGATCTAGAGTCTTCAAAGCACTTTCACATATAATATTTTACTTATATTATTAATTTGTTATATATCATGCAGTAAATTAGGTATCATAGATAGCTTATTACTAGTTTTCATTTAAATAACCGAAAGTTGAAAACAGTTTAGTGACTTGCTGAGTTTCAAGTGACTGTTAGACCCATCAATTCCAGTTCTTCCTCCAAACCCAAGATCATCTTCCTCATCTAAAACATCAGTGTTTCTCACAGGAAATACTACTAAGAGCTCTTATATCTATGCAATATAATTTTTTGTAACTTAAAAACAAAACACCTACTTAAACCCTAGTTATAAACCAGATAGATCCAATGAAAGATAGTTTTGATCATGTACTGTATTTTATTTATTTTTTTGATAGGGAAGTGACTTCATACACATTTTGAAGAAACTAACATTTCATGGGTAGGTCTTTGACACTCTCAGCAGCCTTCTTGGTGGAATTTCAGAGGGACACTCATACAAAATAAGATTTTTTTTTTTTTAAGGTTTTTGCTATAGGGCATGTGCACTTACCAGAGAGAGACAGAAAGACAGAGAGGAAAAGTGAGAAGTCTCCCCCACCAGGAGGGATGACCACACTTCTCTTTCCTTCTTCCTTTGGGGATTTTGGGTACACATGCACATGCACATTCACCAGAGTGATTTTACAGTCATGGGTCCAGGACTTGAACCACAGTGCAGCTGGTCATGTGAAAGTACAACACCTTAACCACCATGCCACTTGCTGGCCCCAAAACAAGAATGTTTTATGGTTATTTTTTTTTGAAAGGTTTTTGCTATAGGGCACATGTGCTCACCAGAAAGACAGAGAGACAGAAAGCAAATCACCCACCCAGGTAGGATGGTCACACTGCAATCTCTTCTCCATTCTCCTCTTGGGAACTTGGCACGCATTCACATGTACCCTGTGTGAGTTTAAGCCACCGGGTCCGGGACCCAAACCATGGTTGACTACATGGGAGTCCAGAGACAGCCATGTAATCACCAACTGCTGGCCCCATGTTTTATGGTTTTATTAAGGCAAGAAAACCCATGTAGTTACAGTGATAAGTGTGGCAACATCTTAAAACAAAAACAAAAGAAAAAAAAAACACTTCATTTTGTTTAGAGTGAGGGTAAGAAGAAAGAAATGCTTGCTTTAATCAAACTATTCAAATTTTCCCCTAGCCCTGGCAGCCCCATTGCAAAAATATAGCTAGTATGTACATACACAATCTAGTTAAGAGGTAAAGTAAACTTTTCATTAATATCCATGATAAAAAATGCAGAAAAATAAAAATTCAATAATTGAAATAATTATTTTTATTCATTAGTTGCCCCATTTTTTTATGCAATGTTTGTCTAGATAAATTGTAAAAATTTGTAAGAGTGACTTGTTAATTTGCACTTTGGCAGTACTCTCCAACATTGACATAAACTGGTGAATGAATAAATAACAGGGCAAGAGAGAGGCATAAAAAATTCTCTTGAATATTTCTGCAGTTCAGACACAAATTGTTTCAGGAATGTATAACTTTGTTACAGAGTACATAATAAAATGTCAAAACAAAATCAAAATGAATAAAGTTCCAATGAGCATAAAAAGACCTTATCAGCAAAACATGTTCACTTTTTGTATTAGTTCTATTTGCTCATAGGCAAAATGTATAAACAGGATTGAAGATATCCAGGAAAAGAAAGGATCATAAGTAAAATAAACAGGATTCTACATTTCTCTGTGAAGTACAATACTTTGTAATAAAATCACTATTATTTTGTAATAAAATTACTATTTGTAATAAAAACCCTTGCAATAAAATGTAAAGGATACTTTCATATTTTCAAACTATAAGAATCATTTATTCGTGAATAGATGGAATTATTTTTTTCAAACAGGATACTTGTCAAAAAATTTAATTGGGGCCATTATTATGTACTCTCCCTCCCACACATTTTTATATCTTTCTATAGTTTTCCTTTTTCCTGCTTCCCTCAGCACAAGTCTCACCTTCCCAAAGATAGGAGATTCATCAGTAGCTCCCTCCCTCCAAACTTCAAGCTGACTTACCCATACATATTAGGAAAGTCAATGTCTTCAATGCCATCATCAAGCCTGGAAAGTTCTTCTGATATGCTTAAATGGCCAAGAAATGCAAAAAAATATATCATTACAGAGTTGCTACATGGAATACTGATGTAAAACATTTATTTGAATAAGAATTCCATAAATATAGGGGATATAGTTATCATAACCTAGCTCACTGAAAGATCTAACTTTCTACAAAAAGCAATCTTAAGAATCACTTTCCAGAAAACTATTTTCTCATGGGTACTTTCAGGACTAAAATGTGCATATTTCTATCTTCCTTTTCTCTCTCTCTAGATATGTGGATTTTGACACCAGTATCACATAGTGGCACAGCTCCGAAAACTAAGGGATATACTCAGGGACTATTAGCTATGTTCTTGTAACAAAGTTCTGAAGATACATCCAGGGACTGACTATTCATTTGTTGAGGGCTCCTCTGCTTCCTGTCCACTGGTACCTCCTTGTTACATTCCAATGGATTTCTTTCACCTTTGTGTTCTAACACAGACACTCTGATACTTTGCTAAGAATTTGGGCTATTAGTCACTAAGGGTGAAGACTAGGAATAAGAAGACTCTCTCTTTGACCTGTTCCTTCATTTACTACTACTGTTCAAAAGACAAAGAATATCACACAGAGAAGCTTACCTTGATAGTACATTAGAAATAGTGTGAAAAGAACTTACTATTCCCGTGGTAGCTCCTTAAAGTCAATATCCCAAATCTCAGTGTCTCTGCAGGTTGTGTGTACATGCATACATATATATGGGTAAACACACACATACACATATATTACTTTGTTTGTATCTTACGCTGGATGGCTGAGTCCACTCATGGATGAATCTTTAGATTTATATATGGCTGTGCTAAAGAATTAAAAAGGTAAATAGTAAGATATCATGTGACTTCCTAGACTTACTGATTTAGTTCAAAGCAATTACAATTACTCTTGCACTTAAAAACTGATCATTAAAAAGTTAATGTATAATCAAGGATTCCTCCATAGGAGCTGAGAACTAGTGCTTTCAGGGACTAACAGTAATGAAGATTTTCTGCTGAAACTTCACTCTCCAAACCCCATTTTCAACTGGTAGAGCACCCCTATATCCTCTGTCTCTGTCTCTCTCTGACTTTCCATTTTTTAAAAATGTTTGTCTTTTTACCTTTTTAAGGTAAAGTACTTTCTTGGCTCTCAGCTCCTCCTTTATCTTGCTGATAATCCCCTTTACCCTCTACCATTTAGGAGAGGCAAAGTGCAGGTCTTCAGAAGACTGACTCCTCCATAGGAACTGAGAATTAGTGGTTGTGACAATGTGGTTTTTACTTTTCTGCTTTTTAAAAAATAAAAATAAATAAATTTGTTTTTTTTTTCTTTATCTTTCTCACTCTCTCTTTTTCCTTTTTTCTCTTTCTCTGTTTTCTTATCTTTTTTCTTTTACCTCATCATTTTGCTGCTCAACCTTCATGTACTGAGTGTCTAGACAGGTCTAAGTGAACTGTAACCAAACATCTGTATACTATTAGGGTCAACATATTCCTCAATTTCTACTGAATCTGCTGCACAAAGGGAGAAAAATGTAATGGCAAAGAGATTGCAGATCACCTTCTCCCGAATAGCTCTGAATGCTCTGATTGAACTTCTAGAAATTAGAATTTTATAACCCATCAGATGACAAGAAATGACTACAGAAACACAAGAAGTATGAGAAATAAAGAAAACACCTCTCTTGCTAGGGAAAAGGATAATTCCTCTTCATCCACAGATAGTACAATGAGACTTGCAGAAATGTCTGACAAGGAATTTAGAATTTTCATAGTGACAAAGCTAACAGAGATACAAGAGAAAAGTGACAATGACCTTCAGAAGAGGCAAGAGGAAAGAGCTGATGAGTTACAGGAGTGAGGAAGTTCTTCCACTATCTAAAAGAGGAAACACACATCATAAAAAAGAATCAAATGGAACTGTTAGAGATGAAGGCTATAATACAGGAAGTCAAAACCTCCCTTGAAAGTATTAAAAACAAACTAGTCATACAGAAGATCGAATCTTAGATGTAGAAGACAGAATTGCTGGCCTAGAAAAATTCATCATGGAGACTGAGAAAATAGCCCCCCAAAATGAGAATAATATACAAGAAATGCTAGATACCAATAAGTGTCCAAACATCTGGATAATTGGTATCCTGGAAAGTGAAGAGACTAATGAGGGCATTGATAATCTATCCCATGAAATCCTGTAAGAAAACTTTCCAAACCTAGAGAAGCATTCTAATAGAATGGACTCCAAATAGAATCAACTCAAGAAGATCTTCTCTAAGACACATTGCAGCCAGATTGACCAAAAACACAGACAAAGACAAGATACTAAGATTGACAAAAGAGAAAGTTATCTACAAAGGATATCCCATCAGGCGAACAGCAGACCTCTCATTGGAAACAATGCAAGCAAGGAAAGAATGGGAAAATATATTCAAAGTGTTAAGGAAAGCAATTTTAATCAAGAATACTGTACCCGGTAAGATTATACTTCATATGGGAAGACCAGAACATTCTCAGATAAACAAAACCTGAAAGAATTTACAGACACTAGACCAGCTCTTCAGGAAATTCTAAAGGGAGTGCTATATATATATAACTGAAGTCGGACACACAGAAATAAGAGTTCACAAACAACTAAGAAAATGGTCAGCTTACTGGTAGGGATAAGTCCAGAGTTGAATGTTATCTTTCAGAATGTAAACAGAAATATGGGACCACAACAGAAGATAGATTAAGTACATGAACTGAACTGGTGAAATAGAATCTTATGACTTTTGACTAAAACATTACTTATTTTCTTCTATGCTTCCTCCCACCTCCCCGGAGTTAAGGATTTTTGTCTTCTCTTGAGCTATTGATAGGTTCAAGTAGTTTGAACAGAATCCTAATCTGTTTCTTGGTTTTAAGGCTTAAGCAAAGTTCTCTTAACATTTTTAAATTTTGATTTATTGAAGCTAAAACTACTTTTGTTGAAATTAAAGAAGATATTAAAAATACCTATTTAATGACCACGGTCAGCTATATAGCCTCAGCTAGTGCTACTTTATAGTATTTTCATTCTACTCCCATGCCTAAAGTCAGACATGTGTTCACAGATATGTATACACCAGTCAATCTTGCTATTGAAAGTAGTTATATTAATTAAGATATTTTGTGAATCAATAAAATGTGGGGAAAAAAGAAATAAAAAGGAATGGAAAGCAACTGCAGATACCAGAGATACTGTGAGAGGAGGATGTGAAATGGCAAAGGGTGAGAAATGGGAGGGGGCGGAGTATTACATATAGGAAACAAGAAATGGAAAATTATTTGTTGACAATAACATGTATGATTTAGACACTATACAGTTTTATTCTGTATGGGAAATCGCATTTTGTATGCTGTGATGCTCAGTGAATCAATGTAAAATAAATAAATTTTTAAAAAGTAAATTTTTTTTAAAAAAAATTAATGTATAATCAGTTATCTGGAGTCTATAATGTTCTAGGGGTCTTCAAAAAGTTCATATAAAATGCATATTATGAACAATGTGTGGATTTTAAATTTTTGTTCCAAAACTTTAATTAATTTTTTTCACTTATTTTTTTTCATTATTCATGATATAACACATGCATAAGAAAGAGAGAGAGACAAAAACGCCCTCCACAGGACTGTCATGCCAATTTCTTCCTCCAGTCCTTCAGCACGTCATGATCCTGGGCACACCTACATGCCTCCAGCATGTTTTTATCCTGACCAGACTAGGACTTGTGCCATGATTGGAATATGGCCTCCAACTCCACAGTCCTGCATCCTACTGGCTTCTCTATGGAAATTGAGCCTCCATGAATTTTTTTGCATCTCTTTGTATTCCTTAGAAATGATGCTTTGTACATACGAAGTAAGTATTTTAGATCTGTCTGAAAAATTAATATTTTAAGTTTTAAGTGTAGTTTTTTTTTTTTATTACTGAAACTGGCCCAAGGTATAAAGGCCTTTTGTGGTAGAATTTATTTCAAATATAACTCCAGTTTGTAGGAACCCATCCCTGTTTTCTCATAATTTCCTATTTTCTAAGTTATTCCATCACCTCTTTACTTTCACCCACCATGCATGTCTTTCTTGACTCTCTGATAGGGTCTAGTAGCTACAAGCCTGATTCAAGACTCCCTTTCATATAATGCTGTTTTTCTATTGGGGACACTAGCTTCATGTAGTGGCAGAGATTCGGAGGGTGAGGGATACGTCCTGGGTCTACAAAGCTTTGTTCTTTTCTGTTGATGGCTCTTCTGCTCCCTCAATGCTACCCCCTAGTAAATCCAATTAGCCTTCTTTTCTCCCTTCACTCAATTTAATGAAGTCTCATACAAAGGCATTTTAAAATATTTCCTAAAAGTATTGGCTGTTGGATACTAGGATGACAAACACACTTGGGGGAGGAAGCATTTTTCTTAAGATCTGACCTTTTTTTCATAGTCCAAATTCATCTTAAAAAGATAGAAAGATAGCTATATCTCTGTATGTATGTATAGATGCTCAGGAGTACAGGAGTTAACATATAAATATGTATATAAACAGTCTTTCTATCCATGTATATATCTAATCTATTAATTCAAATATCTATATTGGTTTAGGTATATCTCACCTTTCACTGGTATTTCCATAAGCAGATACTGGTAGAAAGTTATATGAGGTAAAGCTGTAGGATTTAGAAAGCACATGTAGTCAGACATCACATGACTTTCTAGATGTCACTTTCTGGTCCAAATTAGCTACAATTAGCACATATAATCTGCTTGACCTTAAATTCACATGTAATTAAGTTATTTAGAAACTTCTGTATCCTTTTTCCATAGACCTAACTTTTTAAAAATTATTTTATTTTTTAATTTCAATTTCTTTTATACATTCAATCACATTATTTAGCTTGCAAAGTGAATATTCCAACCTGTGTACATTTCTCACCAATCCAGTTGACAGTATTATAAAGTTATCTTCAACAGATAATAACCCATTTCTTTATATCTTTGTAGTAAATATCTTAGGCCAGGAATCCCCAATCCCTAGCCATGGACCAGGTCTGTGCCCTGTTAGGAACCAGGCCATACAGCCAGAGGTGAAGAATGGGTGAGAAGTTTCATCTGTATTTATAGCCACTCTCCATCACTTGCATTACTACCTGAATTCTGCCTCCTTTCAGATCAGTGACAGCATTAAATTCTCATAGGAACCCCAATATGGGGTCATCTAGTTGCAGGAAAACAAGCTCAGAGTTCCCACTGATTCTGCATTATAGTGAGTTGCATAATTATTTCATTATGTACTACAATGTAATAGTAATAATAATAGAAGTAAAGTGCACAATACATGTAATATGCTTGAGTCATCCTGAAAGCCCTATTCCCATTCCTGTCAATGGAAATGTTATCTTCCATGAAACCAGTCCCTGGTGCCAAAAAGATTATGGCTGCTGCCTTAGGCTTTTGAAAAAGTTTAATGACTCAAGATTTAAGTTCAGTTCTTTATTTTTGAACCTAACTACAACATGAAAGCATCTGACAAATTAACTATAAATTCAAATGCAGTTTAGTGGTATAAATCCCTTTTACTTTATCTAAATTCTCAATTCTCAGATCTTCCCATCAACTCTTACTTTCACCGTCATAGATGTCTTCTCTGCTCATGTAAGGTCTGCAAGTTGCAGCCCTGAAGTCAGGAGCTCCATCCAATGTGAAGTTGAGTGTGGGCTTGTTGTGCTAGCCACATAGGTGGCAGAGCTCTGGAGGGTAAAAAAGAGTTCTAGGGTCTATTAGCTTGGTTATTTTCTGCAAAGGGCCTCTCTGCTTACTGTCTACTACTACCTTCTCCTCACTCTAAATAAAATTCTTTCCTCTTTTGGTCAACTCTAGTAGTGTGTTATACACAGTAACCTAGGATGATAAAAACTAAAAGACACCCTCTTTGATTTTTCTTCCTTTTCCTACTTCAATTTGAAAGACAAAAAATATTCCATATGGAAGTTTACCATGAAAAGACTTTAGAAACAATATCAAGGAAACTCATTATTCCTCTGTTTCCAACTTATACAGAACGGTTGACAGAATTTAAAAGGTACATAGTAAGATACTATGTGATTCTTTATAATTAATTATTTGTTTCAAATGTGCTAACATCATTCCACAACAGAAAAAGTAATTGATATTTAATCAGATGTAACCTGCTATTTGTAAACATTAATGTTCTTTCTCTAGAGAAATGTATGTCTGTATGTTTGTAGTGGTTATCATGGGTCACTGACAAAGTTTAAAGACTCCAGATTTAGTTCAATTCTTTCATTTTGAACCTAACTGCAATGTGAAAGCATTATGTGGTTTAATTTCTAATTCAAGTGTTGTTTCTAAGCACAAATTGTACAAATTAGAGACAGGAAGAAAGGCAAGTATCTTTAACAGTGTCTCATATCACAAACCTCCCCTAACCTTTCCTAAATACGTGCATACACCTGGCATGTACAGTCAACAAGGACTCAAACCCCAATATTCCATATTGCAGAGTTTTGTTTTGTTTTGTTTTGTTTTGTTTTGTTTTTGTTATAGGGGGCGTGCACTCGCCAGAGAAAGAGACAGAGAGACAGAAAGTGAGAAATCACCCCCCAGGGGGGATGACCATGCCACAATCCCTTCTCCTCCATTCTCTTCTCAGGATCTTGGGCACGCATGCACATGTTCCCAGCGTGAGTTTAAGCCGCCAGGTCCGGGACTGCCGGCATGCACATGTTCGCAGCGTGAGTTTAAGCCGCCAGGTCCGGGACTCGAACCACGGTTGACTACATGGGAGTCCAGCGACATAGCCATTACACTAACTGCTGGTCCCAGCATTGCAGAATATTTCACAGCTGCAAAACTGACTGGGCCTAGGAACAAATTCTTTTTTCCCCATATAATTTCTTCTCAAATCCCTCCATAAACTTCTTACTTTCACTATCATAACTGCAGGCCAGAGGGAGGGTCTTCCTCCAATGTATGGTGTGTTTGGTTTGGGACACCAGTGTTACATGGTGGCAGAGCTTTGAGTGGTGAGGGACAGATTAGGGTTTATTAGCTCTATTTTTTTTTTAACTGCAGAAGGCTCCCCCCTCTTTTTTTTTTTTTTTTTGAGAGATTTTCGGTATAGGGCGCGTGCACTCGCCAGACAGACAGAGAGAGACATAGAGACAGAAAACGAGAAATCACCCCCCCAGGGGGGATGGTCACGTCGCAATCCCTTCTCCTCCATTCTCCTCTCGGGATCTTGGGCACGCATGCACACGTGCCCGGCGTGAGTTTTAAGTCACCGGGTCTGGGACGCGAACCACAGTCGACTACGTGGGATTCCAGCAACATAGCCATTACGCTAACTGCTGTTTTCCCGCCTCTTTAAATAGAATTCTCCTCTCCTCCCAGAGCTCACTCCAACAGAGTCTCATATACAGTAAGCAGGACAATCATCAAAAGTAAGATCTTTTTTTATGGCTTCTTTGTTCTTTTGCTATATAAATTCAAAAGACATAGAATATTCCACACAGTAGCTTATCATGATAGGACATTAGAAACGGTATGAAAGGAGTTATTTTATGCACATGAATGCCCTGACATTGAACATCCAAAAATCTAAATTTCTTTGTAGGTTGTGTGTGTATATGAACACATGTGCGTTTGTGGATATATATACACACATAAGTATTTATCCATTTATATTTTACATTTCATTGGTGAGTCTACCCTAGATACTGTTTTCAGTTCATATCAGGTAGCATCAAAGGATGAATTTTTTTTAGAATTATTTAACTTCATTTTTATTATCATGATTATTTTTAAAATTTGCTATAGAACACATGCACTCACCAGAGAGAGAGAGAAAGAGAGAGAGAGCAAGCAAGCCGCCAGGTCCAGGACTTGGGAGTCCATTACCTTAACTACCATGTTATCTGTTGGCCCAAAAGTTTTGTGTTTTTGTCATTGTTTTAGTTCAAATTAGATGCAATAGCTATTCAATTTATCGATTGGTTTTCCGTTAAATATCCACATCTAAATGAGTTATTTTTTATTTTTAAAGAATTATTTTATTTTATTTTTAATTTTTTTAGTTTTTAGTTGTATTTTCTTTTTTCATTTACATTTTTAAATTTAATTTTCTTTTATACATTCAGTCACATCATTTGGTTTACAAAGTGAATATTTCAACATGTGAACATTTCTCCCTAGTTCAGTTGATAAAACTATGAAACATTTTCAACAGATAATATACCACATTTCTTTGTCCCATTAATGTTTTGCCTTTTTATTTTTCTTCTAAATGTCCTTCCTCAGACTCTACTCTTTCACACACACTATATCTGGTATTTACATCCATTTTGAATCTGACATGTACTTTTTCCTGGAAATGATGTTATATGTGATTTTAATGAATATTTTAGACTGTCTTAAAGTTAATGGCTCAATTTTCAGTATAATTCCTTACTACTGAAACTAAATCCAATGTGTAACAGCCTTATGTGGTGACATTTATTTCAGATTCAACTTCAGTTTGTAGATACCAATTCCTCTTATTTTGTCTAATTTCCATGAGGCATACTCATTCACAGGAAAAAAAACAGAAGGATACAGGGAGAGGGAAAGTGAGAAAGCATTCTCCCCGCCCCCTGCCCCCGCCTCCGTCCCGGGCAGATGGCCATGCCACAATTCCTTCCCTCCCATTCTCCTCTTGGGATTTTAGGCCTGCATGAAATTGCACTGGGCATGTTTTTCAGGTCACCAGGCCTGGGACTTGAACCACGGATTTGGCCACGTGGGATCCAGTGCCTTAACCACCAAACCAACTGCTGGCCCCAAGTATCCATCTTTTTCACCACATCTAATTTCCACTTCCTTAGTCCCTTTATCATCTCCTCACTTTCACCCACTTTGGTTGTCTTTTCTGCTTCTCAAGACAGTGTGTAATAGTCATAGGAGTGAGCTAGGACTCAGTTAATGTAATTTAATTATGAGTGTGAGTTTCATATATCAGCTTCCCACAGTGGCAGAGGGTGAGGAACACTTCCAGGACTGAAAGCTCCCTTTTTTTTTTTTTCTATAGAGGATTCCATTGCTCCCTATCAACAGCCACTTCCTTCTTACTCTAAACAGAATTCTATCCCCCACCCAACCCACTCCAGTAGGATCACATACACAGGATATCTGAGTTTCCTAAATGTGTGCCTGCTACTAACTAAAAATAAAAAAAAAATTTTTACATTTATCTCATCTAATCTCCTGATTCTCAAGTCCCTCCATGAACTGTTTACTCAATCATAGATGTGTTCTCTTCTCTTATAAAGACTGAAGAAACAGCAATCCTGATTCTGGGCCTCATTCAATGTGGTGGTGGGTGTGGGTCTGGGGTACCAGCTCCACATAGTGAAAGAGCTCTGGAGGGTGAGAGACAGTCCAAGGATTTATAAACTTCATCATCTCTAGTGAAGCCTCCTTTGTGCCCTCTCCACTGTTATATCCTCTAGGATTCTCTTCTGTATTGGCTCACTCTAGTAGGATCACGTAAATAATATCTAGGAGTGACAAACATGAGGAGTAAGAAGACTTCTTCTTACCCCTTTTCTGCCTATATTCAAAAACATGAATATTCTATATAGAATCTTATCAAAAGAGGATTTAACACAGCATC